TGGTTCCATTTTGCTTGAATATTTTATTGGTTATAATATTATTTGAATATATGATGCGTGGCCCAGAAAATGTGATTTTTAGTCCGTTTTGCTTGCTATTTTATGCGTTTAGCGAGTTGAATTATTGGTTTGGTTACAGAATTAATGTGGCTTTTTGCTGATATTATTAATGAAATCCTTTAATTCAACATATATTTTGGGTTATATTGTTCGCGAAAGCTTGGAAATTTACCAATCCAACAGGGAAGATTAGGGGCTGTTCTTTTTGTGTTCTAATTTTGTGTTTTGAGTTCATTTTGAGTTTTGTATTTTGAGCATTTTGAGATTGTTGAAAATGTGTTTTTTTTGACATTTTGAAAAATTGTTTTCAAAAATAAAAAGAATGGAAAACCCGTTTACTTTCCCCTCTCCCTCTCTCTCTCGTCTCTCTCAACGAAGTCCACCGCCACCACCTTCATCTCCTCCGTCGCTGCAGTTGACGCCACAATCACCACCTTCACCTGAATCACTAACCACAATTACCACCTTCACCTACAGCCTTCCTGCTGGTTAAAGAAATTCTTAATTCAAACCCCCTTGCTGTTACATCCGCCACCACCACCACCACCTGAAATCAGTTTTAACCAGTGGTAAAATTGGCCTTGACCCATGGTTGGGCAAGGTACACCAGGTGGAGAGGAGGCTAACCTATGTGGTCCGCGATCGTGGAATTGTCGGACGGCGTCAGAATTTGCAAAACTCGGATAGCGTTTCAGGACTTTCACGACTGTCGTTCTTCTCGGATGAAATCCGAACATTGCAAAGTTGTTTGGGGTGGATTGGGGACAAGGTTGGAGTCATCTGGGGATGACCATTCGACCAGTGGTGTTGCACGACCTTGGGCGTCGCGGATGTGAAGTTTCCGGCAAAAACAAGTAGCGCCATAATGGTTTTTTGGCTTCCAATTTTTGTTGATTCTTGTTATTTCGTGGTTGATGAATGATTGGAGGTGATAGAGGGGAGTGAGGTGAGGTTGTTGGTGGTGGAATCAGGCGGTCTAGGTGGCCGGAAAGTGGCTTCCAATCTATTTTTGCTGGCGGTGGTTGTAGTGGTGTTGTTGTAGCTGTGGCGGCGGCGGTTTTCAGGCGGTGGTGTAGTGGTGGTTGGCGGTGATTGAAAACACCAAAAAAGCTTTTTTTTGTAAATTTTTAACTTATTTTCAAAAAGGCATTTTTGAAAATAGGAAAGAGAATGCGTTTTCACTATTTTGGAAAATTGAAAACAGAAAACGGTAAAGAGAACATATCCTTATTTTTTGTTTTTATTTTCATTTTTCACATAATCTGTCAAGCAATTTTTATTTTGTTATCATTTACATTTTTCTATTTGGTATATATGGATGGTTTCTTTATCTTTTCTTTAGTGGGTTAAAGAATTTTGATTTATGTACAAATGCAGAATACAAATTTATTTTCAGTAATAGTGTCTAATAAACTCGGTTTTATTGCTTTAGGAGGTGATTTTCAATTTGTGCAGTTAATATTTCTTTCATAAAAGTTAATAATAGCAAAGGATCTGTTCTGTGATGTTTTTCGATCTTATGGACCTGATCATACATCATTAGTACATAAATTGATCAAGAGCAGATTATATTCCTACCATAAGGTATTTGCAGTTAAGGTTTTTTTTTTGATCTTTAGATTTTCGTGTTTAAAAATTTATTGGGAATAAGGTTGTCAATGTCCACATACCGTGGAGTTTTCAGTCATTTGTAGATAGAGTCTAAAGTCCTCTATATACGCAATTAGCAATGCTTACCCACTAGGAAGCGGAGGGGTGGTGGTTTGAATGATTTGGATGTTTAGGTCAAAGTATATTTTTGATGATGATAGAAATGGATGGAGTCTTGCCTTAAACAAGAAAAATGGAACAAACCTGGTCCTATGTGTGTATATTGTATTTATAGAAGCTAGAGTGAAGTGTTGGGGCTGGCTATGTTTTCGTGTTACAGTCAAAGCCCCTTTTGTGGCTGTCAAAAACATACCTAGTCACTTAGCCTGTCATGTTCCCTAAATTTTCAGGTAGAGACTGTAGTAGTTGGGAGCAGTTGAGTGCTCAACCAGCCGACCAGGAGTCGTGCATTATGTTTTGGCAAGGTTGACGAACGGCTGGCCAAGCTTTGTGACCACATTGGCTTTTCGGCTCAGTTTATAAGTGGTTAGGTACTCAGCTCAGCCTAGATAGATATGTATGGGGGTTAGTCTAGTCAGCTCATTTTGATCCCAATTATACTACGTAGAAAGTGAACATAATTAGACTTACTTTGTTGTATGTTCGTATTTCCCTTGAGGTAGTATTGTATATCATTAAAATCTTGAAGAAAGAGAACTTACATTGTTTCTGGACAACGAGTCCTATCTTTCATGCTACCCTTATAAGTGGACAGGGCTTCAAGTTTAAAGATGGATATCTTGTATATACACTTCTATCTAATTGCAAGGCATTGCTTTTGAGTTCTAATATTCTGTTTTATGCAAGAAAATTAGTTCTACATTATGTTGTAAGCTCTATAGTTTACTTTGGAATATTTGATAGTTTAAGCTGCTCTTTCTGATCTTTAAATAAAATGGTGTAAAGGAGTACCTGAATTTAACTTGTATATTATCATATGGGCGGAAACATGTGCACCCTGATTCAGAAGTTCTACATTTTACATGCAGAGGACTTGTAATGTTGCACAATATGGATGATATCTTCAATGATTCTGCTAATAGCTTTCCTACCATACAATCTTCAAAAGTATATTATATATTTGGGGATCCTGAAATATTCCCTAAAGTTGGAGTTGAATATCAAGCCGATGTTCCATCACTTATCCCAGGAGGTCATCATTTTCTGCTTAAAACAAGAAAATCTTATCCCCGAATCAATTTAAATAAGCAATATGCAAAAGTGCATGCTGCATTAGACAATGGAAAAGAAACTGGAGGGTCAATAAATCATCAGCCCATGTTGGCTTGTGATAGCATGGATGTCGCGTTAGTCTCAGCCCAAGGAAGCAAAGCTAATTCACAGATCCAAGCTTGGACAACAACTGAATGTGATAGCTTTCTCCTTGGCTTGTACTTCTTTGGGAAAAACCTTAAGTTGGTGAGAAAATTTGTTGAGACGAAAGAGATGGGTGACATATTAGCATACTACTATGGGAAATTCTACAGATCAAGTGATTATCAAAGGTGTTCAGAAAGTCGAAAGTTGAAGAGCAGACGGTCCGTACATGGACAAAGGATATTAGCAGGATGGAGGCAGCGGGAACTCTTATCTCGTTTGTTTTGCCGCGCCT